ATGGGAAGATCATAAGGATCAGACATACCCGAGTAGGACCAATTTGGGAGTAATACAGTAACAAAAAGGTGGGAAATATGGGGAACAAGGTAATACTAGATATAGTTAGATTAGGAGGCAGAAGAAACAAGACCAAGTAAAACATGTAAGTAAGACATATAGATACGATTTACAGAAGATAGTACCCCTGGCATTTGGAATGCCGTATTAAGTTCGGTAGGTATTCTTGTCTGTGTAGCAGTTTAATATGTACCATGACCGCAAATAGTTGCCAAGGTAACTGCATGCAGGCATGTGGTGGACATGCACTTAGGTGCTATAAGGGTAACCGGGTGAAGTCAGTGGTGTTAAATTAGATAGTATATAATACTAGTAATAATCGATCCTAAAATATAACTATAAATGTATACTATATCAAATTAAGGCTAATAAAAACCAACTGGCATTGTCGCAAAAACATTGATATTGACCTATTTGGACCATCATTATTGATCTACCAAAAAATTTGTATATCATTATTGATCCATTAAAAAAATTTTGATCTGTCATTGTTGACTTTGTATAACATTTTAATAACATCTGCATCATAGAATTTTTAATACTTCGCTTATTGAATTCCACTTAGCTGAAATAAAGTACTTTCGCTCATTGAACCCCCTTTAGCTAAAATAAAACATGCTTTCATTATTTTGTATTAACAAAGTAATTTATTAGTTTCGAATTATGAATTTTGAAGACCATGATCACATAACTATGTGATTTTGATGTAATTAAAGGTTAATTAAAAGTTAATATCTTTCAATCGAAGTCCGAAGTATAATGTTTGTAAAATTAGACTCAGTAAAGCTAATTAGATTAGTAATTGAAATATAAAAGCCAATTTTTTTCCCAAGCTAAAATATTCTTTTGACTTTGCTCTATTGTAATATTATCATATTGCAATTAAATTTAAACCTTTATTTTATTGAATAAAAATATCACTGCGATCTTGTAAATTTAATTTATATACAAAATGACCACTGGCTCTATTCATATTGATAATAATGGTGTTATTCATCTGCCATTTGGACAGGCAGTTGAACAATATCTTAATTCACTTTCTATCTCATATGGTATTCATTATAAGGTTCAAAGCAGAAAGAGAGTGAATGATACAGTGAAACAGGAACTTGTAATAATTCAGTGTATAGAAAGTTTAGCTGATTATATTAGTTGGAAAACTGTAAAAGGTCAATATAAATCTACAAATTGTCTTGATGATGTCTTACAATTAACTGACAGTGAAAAAAACCGAGTTCAGCAAATTAGTATAGGAAAAGAAAAAGACCTTCAAGTTTGGCGATGGACTTGGTTTTGTTCTGGTGAAAGTAGTTGTCAAAGGCTTTGCAGTGGAATTGGATCATGAATCGAAACATGCAATTATTACACTAATTACAACCTCAAGAATCCTCTTGATATGCATAAATGTAGCATATGAATAACTACTGAAGTTATGCTTTCTGAAGTAGATACAGACTTACCTATGCGTATGATTATTAGTGGTAATTATATTTTACAAAATATTATACATGAACGAGCAATATCTAGAATTAATCTAAGTCAGGAGGCATGTGATTTGGCAATTTTAAATCGTAGAGCTAACAAAAACACAACCAAAGAAGTTAAAATGAAGCTTCTTGCACCTCATAATAGTGTTTCACCAAATGAACTACAAAAATTATATAACAATCAAAGGTCCATATGTGATGATGTCAAACTTCACCAACTTCTTGAGAGAGATGACTTACGTATAAGAAAAAATACAGGACCATGGACAATAGTGCATAAGTTAGTAACTGGTATATTAAAAGAAAAGGGTGATATTTTGTATTATCAACAGTCAGACATTAATGTGAATGAAGATAGTTCAGAACATTATTATTAACTTACTATGAGCGATGACTTGTGGCTTTAGCAAGCACGTGATTTTGAATCATTTTGCTTTGGAGTTGACAGAAAATATGACTTGAATAGTGATAGTGCACCAGTATTGTTTCTTGTTGTTGAAGACTGTGCAGGGTATGGGACACCAATTGCATTCGGAGTGTCAAATAAAGAAAATAATCATACAATTAGACTTGCTGTAGAAGCAGTAAAATGAAATATTCCTTGTAATAGTACTGATTGTACACATGAGTATCAGTATATAGAACTGACAAATGGTAAAGGATTTATGAGAATTCGGCATTGTGCACAAAAGTGGCACCCATATGCAATGATTGATAAACATCATCCAACAAAGCAGGGGCTTCAACCCATTTTTCATAAATTAATTTTATGTTGGTTTCATATTATGCAAACACTTAGAAAACATTTTAAAGATTTAAGAATTGCTGATCATTATCGATATTCAATTGCTATTGCATTTAAGGTTGTAGATAGAAGCAGAAATAAAGAGGAAGCTATAGAGCTTGGTCATGCTTATGAATTATTTATTAGAACTCTACCACTTCCAGAAATTACTAAAGAATGTTTGTGCAATGATATATTTGCTAATTGGTTATCTGAAGAATGGATTGATTGTTTTATCGATGGTGGTTGGTTGCCTTCTGTAAATGATCACCCAGGTGTAAAACCTATGACTACAAATAATCTTACAGAACAAATGAACAAATCAATCAAAGGCAGACATGTAGGCACCCAACCAATCAATAACTTCATCGAAAGATTATATGGGATTAGACTAATATGAGATAATATTATTCAGGAAAATTCTTCACAATTTATATTTGAAGCTGGTCAAGTAACCTATTGAAATGCACGTATTATAGAACATCAAGCATTATCATTTAAACAACCTGCAGATGTAAAATGACATTTAAATCAGGAACGACTATGTGTTTTACTTTATTTAGTAAAACCTGTAGTTGGTGAAAATGACTTATATTTCTATGTTAAAAAAGGAAATAATAAGTTTCACTTTTTATATACTATGAAATATATTAACCTTGATAATGAATCATATCAATTACTTCAGCCACTATTAAATAAGCTTATTTCTAAGCATCCAGTTATACAATTAAATGATCACTATATCATTAATATTTTTACAGGAGAGTGCACATGTCTTGACTTTGTGTAGAACGGGTCTTTCCATGATGTGTGCAAGCATGTACATGCAGCACACCTATTTAATGATATAGAAAATGGTAAGACTACTCTAAATGCAGTAAAAAATGATCTTGTAAAATATTTCTGCAAAAAGGAATGTGCAGCACCAGCCGAACAAAAAAACTTAATAATTTATAGTGAATCTACTAAAATTGCATTTGAAGAAATCCTTCAGATTTTCTCATTGCAAGGCAATGATATATTTTTTCTATACAAATATAAAACTACAGAAAAGAACCCATTCCGTCTTATTGAACTACCTGAGTGAAGAACATCAAATGTAGGAACTCCTAAGATACTTAGTGCTAAGCCAAGAAAGCCTAGTCGTTTTTTAAATAAATTAACAACTAATAATAATAAGGAGGCAAGTATTATAAATCTATTTTTATACAAGATGTATTCAATTAACAATATATAGTTGTTAATTATTTATTTTATAAATTTTAAGAATAATGTTGATAATGAAAACTTAATGTTAGTTGATGATGAAACAGAGTTATTAATAGCAGCAGATCTGGAGCAAGTTGAAGTTGAAAGAATTGATGAAATCGATGATGTTGATATCGAAGAAACCAATAAAGCCTCTCTAATTAATGCTACAAATGCAGAAGTATCAGTTTTAAGTCCATTGCCACCATCAGTTCAGAAACGAAGAACTGCAGCAATTAGAAGCCATAGACATAATTCTAACAAACGAGTAAGTCTAAATAAATTAAATAATAATTCCGAATTAGCAAAATATTAACTATGTTTTAAATAGTTTAAAGCAGAGTAATAAAATCGTCAACTCATCTTCATCTAAAGTTACTATATGATGTGAATTTGAAAACCTTTTTTCAGAAAAACAAGCTGATTGGAAAAGACAGGATTTTGTAAAAGCCTGTATTGAGAAAAATATCTATTTAGATAATAATGTAGAATTGAATATGAAAAAGTTGTTTACATGGTTCGATGGAAGAAAAAATAAGATAAAGCAAATAGCTAGCTTGTAAAGCTGATTACATTAAAATATATAAATAAATTATAGCAATAGTTTTAATTTTTGCTTTAAAGTATCAATTAAAAGGCTCAAATAACAACAATATTGTATCACAATACAGTTTTTTTTTTTTTTTTTTTTTTTTTTTTTTTTATTTATTTATTTATTTATTATTATTGCAGTTCTGGTCAATAACGATATACAAATTTTTTGGTAGATCAATAACGATGGTCCAAATAGGTCAATATCAATGTTTTTGCAGCATTGTCGCCAAAGTTCAAAAAAAAAAAAAAAAAAAATTACATTTAATGCACAAGAGTAATTTTTTTCAAATTTTTCTAGTGTTACAATTTGTTAATTTTTTTGCTTAATTGGTTGCTCAATTAGTTAACAACTAGTTGTAATTAATTGCTTAATCAATTAATTGTTAAGTTGCACCTAATCAATTAATTAAGTTACAACTAATTTACTAATTAATTTATCAATTTTACCTTATATTTAGTTTTTATAATGCTTTAGAATTTTTTAAGATTTGTAATAAGCCTATAGCACTCTTTGTATTAAGTCATTTGATGCAACTTGAAGCATAGCTACAATCCAGTACTATAAATCCACCTTTGAATGACAAGTTACTAACAAAATTTAATACATTTCATCTAGATCTATCACAATATATAATTAGATTTCAAGAAGCATACCAGCAGCATTAAGTAAATTTAAAAAATATATTGACTAACATTCTACTTTATTATTATTTAAAGCTATTCAATATTTTGATCCTCAATATCTTCATTTACAGCAAGATAGACAAAATATTAATTTGTATATAATTATTTCCAAATTTGAAAATTCAAATCATATAATTATACATGAGTGGAGAATTTACTGCAAATTAGATGAAAACATTGGTTATGATAGTAAATTTGATTTAGATACATACTAAAAAGAAAAAGCTGTACATCTACCTAATTTGTTATGAATTGCTTTGGTTTATATTTGGCTTCCTGTTTCAGGAGTTAATGTTGAATGAAGCTTTTCTGTGTACAAAAATATTCTTACTAATAGAAGACAAGCTCTTTCAAAAAATTTAATTTGCATTTTAAATTCATATATTTTAATAAATAGAATGAATAAATTTTTATCACTACTATTGCATAATTTCTTTATTTATCTTTTGTTTTTTTAGTATCAATTACTGGTGTTTGATTCTATTATTGCTATATTTGTTACTCACTTTGACTTTTTACTTGGAGTTAAGTTCAAGATTATAAATATAATTCTAAGTACAACATTTTGTTATTTATATTAATTTATTTTTTATTTTAGATTTTACAATAATCTTTATCAGAAGATTTTTCAATAACAATTTAATTAATTATTTTATTTCACAATAAATAATCTGAATACATTTTATTAGCTACATCTTATTTTATTAACTATGTCTTTTGATAGTATATGAAAAATAGCTGAATACAGAAGAACCACTACTTGACATATTAAAACATATAAAACATTATCATATACATTTTTTAGTTAAAAAAATTTTTTTTAGAAAATTGCTTTATTCTTAAAACTTTAAAGCAGTCATAGAATCTTATAAATTTACAGCAAATTATAAATTATTTAGTATAGAACAAAAAATAGTATACATATATCGTATATTATGAATAAAATATAATAATTACTTAAACCTTAAAATTTTGCTTTAAATAAATCTATATTTACATTTAGGTTTCTAAATCAGTTGAATAAGAATTGCAAACTAAGAGTTTGTTATACAAATTAATGGTTCCTACAACACATATTTAAAGAACCAATATAAGGTTTAAAACTTCATGGTTTGCTACATCTTGTCCAAAATTTTAATAAGAATGTTTATTCTGAAGTCAGTATACATATATGCATATATTATATACATAGAACGTGACCACATATGCACATATATATGCATTACATAATTCAGTTTACTTTACTACTTCTTAAAAGTTAATTTTTTATCATATATAGGATTGCCAAAATTGTTTCTAAATAAAAGTTGATTACAATCTATTTTATAAAATTCAGAAGAACCTTGATTATAAAAATTTTGATATTATGCAAAGTAATATTAAATTATATAATCGAGAAACGAGATGACATATAGTTAAGTCATGCAACTGACAGACTCCTTTATATGGCAATTGATTAAAGATTGAGAAGCATATATGAACAATGCAGCAACACATATTAGCAATATACAAAGTAATGTAAGTATCAGATGACTAAGTGAGAGAAATGATATATATTAGCATATATATAGATAAAATCCCAGAACAAGAAAATGAACTGAGAGTGTGACTACCTAGTGAAGTGGTCAGGTTGTCAACCCTCCAAGTGGTAGGTTGGGTGTTCAAATTCCATCGACGGCAAAAAAATTTGAATAATCACCTATGTAATATTCGTATTACAGCAACAGTTACTAATGATTGGGTTAGAATACCTGTAATAGCAGTCACACCAGCATGACTGGTAGGTCATGGGGCATTCGTGTAACAGGTCACATGACATTGTCCCTTGGGACAAGGTTG